AAGAACTGTATCATCAGCGTATCTCAGGTTATTTATGATTATGTCATGAATTCTAATATCTACGTTTCGTTAATCCATTGCCTTACTTAATATGTCTTCCGAGTATACATATTAAATAATACTGGTGTATTATTTAATATGTATGGTAGTGTACACCCTTGTCGAACAACTCTTTGTACTTCTATTTCTTTTATGTTATTTCTTCTATTCTCACTACTGCTTTTTGGCTATAGTGTAAGTAACACAAAAAAGACTGTTTTCAAAAATTTATTAGATAACTTCTAAATTAATTACATAAATAAAATATAATTCTAATCATAAAAACTATTTATTCACTAATGTGTAATAATAATAGTTTATTGAAAACACTGAAAAGTAGAATTTGAATATCAGTGTAATAGAAAATTATAGAAAAATACTGTCAGTGGTGAGTTTCCTTAAAGATATATCCTTAGACAAATTCATAGTGAAATATTTCGGTCATAACCTAGCAAAACATTAATTAGAGAGGAGCCAGTCAGATTTGGATATAAGAATTGGATAATAACTGGTTCCACTGGATATGATTATGGTTTTCACGTTTGTTGCGAAAAAAAAACGAATGAGATTGAAGATAATAAAAAAATACCACTTGGAGCTAAAGTAGTAACTGATATTTTGAAACATAGGCCTGAACCATCTTGAAATGAAATTAGAGCAGGTCATTGGATGAGGATCTAGGAGTTTCCTGTGTTTACAACGTTTTGAGCAGAGACAAGTATTTATAAATAACAAAGTTTGTTCATATAGCGGATAATGTCAAAATAGGCGATTCTACAGTTTGTATGTACAAAATTAGACTTTTAGCAGATAAAGTTATAGAAAAATACTGCCAGTGGGGATGTTTCCATAAAGATATTTCCTTAAACAAATCCATGGTCAAATATTTTGATCATAACCTAGAAGAGAGAAGCCAGTCAAATGTGAATATAAGAATGGGATGATAACCGGTTCCACTGGATATGATTATGGTTTTCACGTTTTTTGCCTAAAAAAGCAAATGGTACTATTAAAAAAGACCACTTGGAGCTAAAATAGTAATTAATATTTTAAAGTAGTTGCCTGAACCATATAGAAATGAAATTATATCAGGTCATTGGATGAGGACCTAGGAGTTTCCTGTGTTTACAACGCTTTGAACAGAGACAAGTATTTATAAATAACAAAGTTTGTTCATCTAGCGGATAATGTCAAAATAGGCGATTCTACAGTTTGTATGTACAAAATTAGACTTTTAGCAGATAAAATTATAGAAAAATACTGCCAGTGGGGATGTTTCCATAAAGATGTTTCCTTAGACAACTCCATGGTGAAATATTTTGGTCATAACTTAGCTAAACAGTTAATTAGAGATAAGCCAGTCAGATGTGAATATAAGAATTGGATTATAACTGGTTCCACTGGATATCATTATGGTTTTCACGTTTGTTGCCGAAAAAAGCAAATGGTACTATTAAAAAAGACCACTTGGAGCCTAAATAGTAATTGATATTTTGAAATAGTTACCTGAACCATCTACAAATGAAATTTTTTCGATAAACATTTCATGACATATCAATTAATGAATTATCTGAAACAAAAAAATATAAAGGCAACAGGAACTGTAAAATGTCCAGTAATGGAGAAAGCTAATGAAGAAAAATGCATATGATTATAGATTTGACAAAACTAATGAAATTTTGTGTGTGAAATGGTATAACAATAGTGTTCTATGTTATCCAATTATGATACTATTGAACCACTAAGTCAAGTAAATACAAAGGTCACAAAATGGTGAAAAAACTATGTGTATTGAATGGTGTTTTGAAAAATACCATACAAATACCTAATGTCCCCATTACAGGACGCCCTTATATTTCAAAATGTTTTTGAAAAAAATATATTTTTTTGAACATAATAATAAATGTAACCCAAACATCAAAATTGGCGAATCAAACGAAAAACGGTTGAGTATCAGTCAACAAAATTGTCATCTGAATAGCCAGAATCCGATTCATTTAAATCGATAATTACTGGAGCTATGGGGTTTATGTCAATTCTTTTTGCAGTCTCCCAATACTCATTAATAAGTTTCTCCTACTCATTAATAAGTCCTAATGGTAATAGTATGTTGGTATTTATTTAAAATCAAGTTGGGTTCACAACTAGTGGCTACTGATTCGCTTACTTTATTGGTATAATCAGAATATTTTTGTATTCCTTCATTTGCTAATCGCCTTATGGTTGGCAAAGAAATTTCTAACGCCTCAGCAACACGCTGAAATAAACAGTAAATAAAACAATTTTATTTTCAGGCTAATTTTCAACTTACTTCACGAACAGCAGAAATTGGTAATAATGTTTGTCCAGCTTCCTTTTCCAATTGAAAATATTTAAGTAATTTTAATATTAGAACTTGTTCTTTTTCCATATATCTTGTCATCTTTTACAAATACAAATAAAACCACAATCACAATACTATGTAAAACAAAATACAAAATAAAATTATACAAAACAAATACCAAAGAATATAAAATATATTATATAGCGTCTATATTCTTTGCAAATACTGACCTGAACGACAGCCGTCACTTGCTGTTGGAAAACTTCGAAAGAATGGCCAGCATGGACGAAGTTTTACGTCAACTGTCAGTAATAGGCGTATTTGATTGGCTAGAGAAAGCGCGCATCTAAATATCAACGAATCAAACGTAGGTTAGGAAAGAACCGCTTAGGTATGTAAGCTTATTCTACCGCTGCAATATAGTTCTGTTTAATCACGGAACTACCGTTTTCTCCGTCTCATCCAACTTAATGCATTAGAAAGAGAGATATTATATAGAGACTATATCGAGAGTAGGTGACTTTTTACCCTTTCAATTTCATCATCACATATTTTGTTTGGAGGTGCATGTTTACCACGCTGGTTATCCTTGGGTATTCCTTATGTACTTTTGACCACTTTTTTTTATAGCGGTTGTTAAAAACTTCGCCGTTTCACCAAAGATATATAGGAAGCATTTCTTACAAACAGGCTGAAGAATTCCATTAATACGTAGGCTGTACTTATGAGTTAAATTGCGATTTTTTTGTGTTCTTGTTGTTTTTCTTAATGTTTGTGTCTTATTTGGCTCGGTAGTTACTAAATTTGCAATACAACTTATACGTTTCATCTGTAATTCTTTCAGCACATTTAAGCTTACAAGAGTCTAGTGGCTTGCACTCTCTTGCTAACACTGTCTTTCCTTTCTGTGTTTGATATTGGAGTCCAGCATTCTGTTTCCTTTTCCTTTCACTGCGGATTTTTCTAGCTCTACCTTTCAAGCTCAATCTTTGTTTTGCGGTTTGTTTCTGAAAGGGATAGCAGATTTTTACGCGAAGAGAAGGAAACAGATGATTCAACGTACTCTGGTCTCCTAGTAGGTGGTTGATAGACAGGATCATCATCAGAATCCAATGCATCGAGGAAATCTGAAAATACTGTGGTGTTACAATCTTCTGGGTTTTTATTGTTCACAAGATCTGCTGACGTAGTAGGTGCAATTTCCGCAACTCGATTTTCCTCCCTTACTTCCGTAGATGAAGCGGCTTGTTACTCTAATCTTTACCTTACCTAACCGGTATTTTTTACTCTAATCATAATTGGTAAATTTTGTGCATCTGATTCCAGTAAACAAAAATATCTCTACATATCTCTGTTTACCCAAACGTAATTCTTGCATTCTTGGTTCATATATGATTCAGGTAAAGAGAATTATATACTAATATAACATTTTACCCGAATTTATTTTGTAAATACATTTACACTATTATTCTACTAAAATAGGGAACTAAAGCATATCTGGAATTATTGCTCTTTACTCCATTGTAAACGTTAATTTTGTTAAATGACTCCCATTTCACATGTCAAAATCTAATGGAAATATTTAGACTGTAGATATATCCTTTTACCCAAATAAAGAGCAGAAAATTTACTTTATTTTCATATTTTTAACTCACTTCGGGAAAAAATTCGAGATATGTATTTATTTTCAATAATCTGTATAATGTGGAATACATCGTCAACAGTTGATCGATACCACCTGAATTCCGCTTATTTTTATTTTCTATATATTCTTTTTCTGTCTAATTGTAATCACTTTTCTCTATATTATACCGATTGAACTTGTCACGATCATTCCTCTGTAGTTATCACAGTCATCCTAATTTTTCATGTTTAGTAAATATTTATTAATGCAAATTTGAAAAAGTTTGGTAGATGCACCTGGTCTTGGTGATTTGCTATTTCTTTAAAACATTTACATTCTTTTGGGTTTCTTTGATATGTTAAATGCTAGCTCGTCTCATTTACCTTGTGTTATTGTTGATATTATAAGTCTTTTTTATCGTGTCTTAGCGATTTTAATATTCACCAAGTTTCCATGTTTCTCCGTCCTTCTATATGTGAATTTATCATGTTCACATTTGTTGCCATATATCACATTTTGGTTTGGATCTCTTCTTTGAGTATCCTTTATTATCCAGTCGTAGAAGTGATTTTGATTCCAATATTTTTTGATACGTTACTCTTTCGTTTTGTTTCAGTGATTACGGTCCGTCCATGCTATCATGTTATAACAGCAACTCCTTATTTCAAAATAAATCTCTTTGAAAAATATTTACGGCGTTGAAATCGAAGCGCCTAAAACAAATGTAAAATGTAATTTTCTTTAAAACCAGTTGTGGTTTAATCCCATATAAAACAATATTTAACTTTAACATGTCAAAAGAAAACACTTTCAGAAGCAGAATTTGGTTTTGAAGTTTACCTTGTATTGGATAATTTGCTTCAGCTTAAGACTGTCTGCCTTGCTTGTTGCCTCGCCGTTATTATCTACCCACTCGCCAGCCTACAAGACATTATCCTATGATCAACAAGTTAGAAGCTCCTCGAGAGGTTGAATAAAGAATTATAAATACCTAAAAATGTATTTTTATTGTAGGAAAACCAGATCCCGAGGAAAACATAGTTTACGAACAATCATCGCCATCAACTAGTACAGTGTCAGTTCCGAGAAGTAGAAGAAGAAGTAGGTCAAATTCAGTTTTATCAGAGGCGTCCACGCCGCCCTCTCAAAATTTACCTGACACTCCTCAAAAACGGAAAACTAGAAGTCGGACTAAAAGTCCTGCTGCTTCAGGTAAGAATCGAATCCATATTTAATAGTACATACAAACATAAGCAATCATTATTGCCTGATTGTTTACTTTTTGTTTGTTGAAAACATTTGTATCCACTGCTGTTTTCAATTTTTCAGTTGAAATTTTGTGCTTTTTAAGAACCACAGTTTGCTATCTCATGTTCCTTTACTCTAAGTTCATTCAATAAAATCAACCACAACACATATTGGCAATTGTGCTGTGGCTCATCATTGAGCTTCAGCAGTTTGGATAGTCCGATTAATGATACTTCTTCATTGGTCGCGGTCATTTGTTACATGTACTGCATCAGTACGCTGCTTATTGAGAATCTTTTTCGTGATGTCTGCCCGTCGCTGTGGAGATCTGCCGCCTTGGCGTTGACTCCCAAGCCTTCCTTGGACCACCGCTTCATTTTATGATCGCTTCGATGAATATGACCAAAGAACTTTAAAATTCTAGAGTAAACATTACTAGAGAGACGCTGATTGGGTTTAATTTCATCTAGAATCAAGATGTTTGTACGGCGAGCCATCCCTGGAATTCGAAGCAGTTGTTTCCATGTCCACATTTCAAAAGCGGTCATGCGTCGTCTATCTGATTCTTTGACTGTCCATGTCAAATCCAATAACATACTGTTGACTTTTTCAATCGTTCCCGAGGTATCATCAATATTTAGTCGTCCATTAGGGACATGTACAATTGTATTAATGCCGCCAAGCTGAATATCTGAAACCCAGTCTATATACATTGAAAACAGAAGAATTTATTACAATAGTAATAAATTCAATTCCGCTTTGATTTGGTTTGGTGTTACTCTTTTCAAAGAAAAATATTTAATCACTGTTCAAATGTCGGTTTTTTCTATTGGTTAAAAAACCATACGAAACATTTATCTTTGTTTTCTGTCAAAACATGCTAAATAACAGATTTTAATTTTTCCCCCAATATCTATTTCGAATTATAATTCATTTTATATTTTTTTAATGGTTACTAAGCTGTCAAAGTTGATATTTTCTTTTTAATCACTTCTTTCAGTGTTGGTCATAACGTCTACTCCTTTCTAGCGAAGAACTAAAAGAATAACCAAAATCTGACATGGTTAACGAGGAATTTCTCCTCATTTGATATGATAATATCAACAAAATGGAAACATTTGAAATGCAGATAGAGATATCAAAGGAAAAACAATATGGGGCAGACAACGAGGTAGAGACCTCTAGCACAGATGTAACATAGAGGACATAAATATCTTGGTACTTGACAGAAAAAGGAGCCACATAATTAGAACAAAAGATATAGTTATAACCTGTACATCCATTAAGGAGGCATCCGAAAATGGAACTGGCGAAAACATATCAAGAAAGTAGGAACATGAAGTTACGAGCGGCAGTCCTTTGTATACCAAACCATTTTAGTTAAAGTATGCCGTTTTCATACGTCAAATATTGATCATAGAGAATTAACAGAAAAACTATCTATCCGTTATGAATTACTTCTAATTCATTTTTGTAGTCATGATATTTCAGTGATTCAAATAAAGATTAACCAAAATTAAAAACATTTTTTTTTGTCAATTATGATAATTTAACGATACAGATAAAGATTGACAAAAGTTAAAACATTGTTTTTTCTTTCGTTTTAACTATCAAGGCAGCAATTTAAAAATACCGAATACGAATAACTTTTATTCATTCCTTGTCATCATCACATTATACATGCTGTGGTCCACTGCTGAACATACGCCTCGTTCAGTTGTCTCCAGGACTCCGACATTGTACCATGTAAATTTATGTCGGAGGTCTTCCACTAGTTGGATCTCTTAGCATTAATGCCAACATCAACCGCTATGTGTATCGCTTTGTCACTCTTGATTTTTTCTATAGATTTTTTTTGTGTTAGGAAGTTTCTTTGTAATTATTTAAATATTATCTATATATTTTTTTAACGCCCAATTCTTGATGTTCCAATTTGTTCTTGTACTATAATGGCAGAGAATTTTGCATCGTATTCTGTATAAGTTTCAGGCATATCCACTCGATCTCGAAAGCAATCAGAGAGTGATTTATTGATATCGGAACAACCAGAGGAGTCTACTCCACCAAAAAGAGGAAGATCGAAGAAAACAGACGACACTGAAAGTACTGGTAGACGTACAAGAAGTAGAGCTGGGTCTGCATCTTCAATTAAGTCAGGTAAATATTTAAATATTGTTTTAAGTATTTTCCATATTATTACCCCCTATTAAAATTATTTTCATTTTTTTGTATATTTAATTTTTTATATCTACAGTAAAGCACTTAAAAATTGTTATATTAATAAGTTTCTATAGATTATTTATTCCTTTTCATTTTTATTTATATTTACTTCATAAAGTTGTTTTTGCTTTTTACTTATTTTAGATAGTGCGCAAACGTTTCTTAAATTATTTTTAAATATTCCATATTTCATTAAAGCGTTTCGGAATATATGTGAAGGAAAGACAAGAGCAAATTAAAAATGGAAATAAATTATCACAAAGATTCCTTTTCAATAAAGATCTACTTCAACCTTGCTGTAATTCGCCTACCTCGTTTAAGATATACTTTGCGAATGCATTCAAACAACGGCAACGCAAATGTAGAGGTATGGGTGTAGATCTCTCCGAGAGATCTCTCGGAGAGATCTACACCCATTATCAATTATCAGAAATCAGAAAGATTATCAAAACGAATAATAATAGCAATAAAGATGATCTAGAATATATGGCACGGAACCTTTAAGAGGAATATAGTTACTAGGGCTTAGAAATTAATGTAGCAAACACTTAGTATCTTAATATTGTTTTTGTATTTTCTTGTATCATCTTAATACAATTTATCATTTTTATTGGGTTCAATTTTACTTTAAAATAAGTTTATTTTGACGTTTCGATTTCCACTTCGGAAATCGTTCTCAAAATACAAAACATTAATAAATTAAACAAACTTTGTTTTTGTTACTTATTTTAATATTCATTAATTGTTACAGATGGATCAGCTAAAAAGAAAGCTGCTAGAGGAAGAAGAATAGTTTCGGCAAAATCAGAATTACCGGAAATATCGGAAGAAAAGGAAAGTGTAAATAAGAAATAACTGCTTTTTAGTACTAATGATTAACTTTTATGTTTTTTCAATAAATGTTTTTTCAATTGTCATGTTGAATGTATATTTTGTATTGATATGAATAAAAAATCCTTAGTTTCCATGGGTTTTATTTTTAAATTATATCAACTCGTCTACATTCAAAACAAACATCAGGCAACATTTTCTGAAAATAAAGCGATACCTATCTATCATTGGTTTTTTACATTATATATATATATATATATATATATATATATATATATATATATATATATATTGACATATTTATGAAAATTGGTACTGTAACCTCCGAAATTTTTCGAAAAAAAAAACTTTACCAACTGTTCAAAGAACCACCTATCTCAGACTTCGAAGGGCTGGTAATGTGAGTATGGATCATGACAGACTGCCGAAGAAAGCTCGGATTATTGGTTCTCAACCTTCTTGAGTTATTTACCAAAATATTTTTGGTACCACCTAACTGAAATAACTATTTAGGTAGGTAATCTAATAATTAACTTCTGATTTATATGCTGGAATTTTAAGGAATGGATAAAATAAAATTCAACAAGAGTAGGTACAATTTTCTTTCAGGTTATCTTTTTAGATTTTATACGAGTATATAGGTAGTTAGAATAACAAACTAATTTATGAGAAGGATGTGCTTTTACAAAAAAAAAGTATTTTCACATAATTTATTAATACGGTGTTACTCAGATATAGTCGAAGATCAGGCTCTACATTAAGTTTGTTTCGGTATAAGTTCTTAATATTAAGCATTGCGAAAAATTCATTCTCGGACAAGTATGTTGTCGAAAACGGTATCAAGTATTTTAAAGAGCGTTTTGCAAAGGAAGGTAAATAAAAATTCCTTCTTATATTGTAATATTTTTTATAATTATATGGACTATTATATTAACTTTCTGTTCCAGTTCCTTTCCATAATAATACTGTCCCACTATTCTTAGTATGTTTGGGGGTGTGTTCTAACAGTTTAAATTAAGTAAAATTGCACTTTTTCGTACCTACATGGTTATCATCAAATAAAACAATAAAAAGAGGAATAAATAAAACAATCTAAATTATAGTACACTCTATTATAAAAACAACATATATATATATATATATATATATATATATATATATATATATATATATATATATATATCTCAGAGTAGATTTTAGTATTTAAACTTACCTTACACCGACACTGTTCGAAATTCCATGGAAACAATAAGTCAGCCGTGTAGCTGACACTTGCAGATTTCAGTTACCATGGAACAGTGGACGAAGACGCAGCGTGCCTACATGGTTGAGGGTTATTTTAAAACCAACGATTCCTGTACAGTGGCTTGTCAGAATTTTTTTGCGCGGTACAATATTAGACGCGTGGGTGATGCACCATCCGCGATGTTAGTGCACGCATGGGTAAAGAAATTTAGAGAAGAACTAGTTGTTACAAATGTGAAACATCTAGGTAAACCAAAAATTATTCGAACTCCTGTCAATATTGCAAGAGTTCGACGTGCTGTGAATGGTAATCATCGGTGTTCACTTCGCAAACATGCACAAGCGCTAAATTTGTCTTCCGTTAGTATCCAGCGTATTTGAAAGAAGGATTTAAGTTATCACCTTTACAAAATTTAGTTAAGCCAATATTTGAAAGAAAATGATCTCTTACTGAGGAAAAATTTTTCTGAGGAGATGACTCGTTTTTGGGATGACGGTAGTTTAGAAGGGATTATTTTCAGTGACAAGGCTCACTTTCACCTTAATGGATATGTCAACATGCACAATGCTCGCTACTAGTGTCCTGAAAATTTACATGAATTACACCAGAAACAGTTGCATTTAAGAAAGGTGAGGCATGTCTGCATCGGGGATCATCGGACCCTACTTTTTTGAAGATGCTAGGGGACGCACGCTAACTGTCAACAATGCAAGATACACTGCCATGTTGCGGAATTGGTTACGTCCAGAATTGAATAATTTTCAAGGGTATAATCCAGGCAATACATGGTTCTCGCAAGACGGTGCTACGCCACATACAGCAAACACTTCAATAAACGCCATATCAGAAATTTTTCCAGGCACACTGATTTCACAAAATGGTGATATTTATTTTCCCCCAAGATCTCCTGACCTTACCCCCTTAGATTTTTTTCTGTGAAAAAAATCTATTTTTTCAAAATCTAAAATTTTTTTTCATATTCCAGTGAATATGTGTGAGCTCATACAGAGCTCATACGCAGAAACAATCAAGTTACTTAATGAAGAAAACCTAGACATTATTGTCAAGCTCTTTAACGACATCTACGATACGGGCCAGATTCCAAAAGATTGGCTTCGATCTACATTTATCGCCCTACCAATAATACCACGTGCGAACTTCTGCAAGGACCACCGACTAATAAGCCTAATGAGTCACTTTTTAAAACTTTTCCTGAGAATACTTCACACTAGATTGTTTAAGAAATGCGAAGAGGTCAGTTTGGTTTCAAAAATGGACTTGGCACGAGAGAAGCGATCTTTAGTATGCAAACATTGATACAGAATTGTTTAGATCAAAGAAAGGATGTTTTTATCTGTTTCATCGATTACGAGAAAGCATTCGATAATGTAAAACACGAATTGATGATAAAATACCTACAAGAGCTGGGATTGGATGCAAAGGATATAAGAATCATCGCCAATCTGTATTGGAATCAGACAGCAACAGTACGTCTTCAAAATTCCAACGAAACAGAAGATTTCTCCATTAAAAAAGGAGTAAGGCAAGGTTGGATACTGTCCCCAATGCTGTTCAATTTATACGTAGAAAAAGCCTTCGCAGAAGCAGTGGAAGACTCTAATAAGGGTATTAAAGTTTACGGCATATTTATTAATAACATCAGGTATGCCGATGATACAGCCATAGTGGCAGATAACATCGAAAATCTTCAATGCCTTTTAAATGATCTAACTCTTGCAAGTGAAGCTCGGGGTTTGAAAATAAATATCAAGAAGACAAAATCAATGATTATAAGTAGAAATGATTACCCCAACGCAAAGATATATGTCTCTGGAGAAGAAATCGAACAAGTCAGGCAATTCAAATACTTGGGATGTTTGCTGAATGAGGGTTGGGACACCGAGAATGAAATAAAGAGCAGAGTTGAACAAGCCAGAAATGCTTTTTTGAGGCTTCGTAAGTTTCTGACTGATCGCAAATTGGACTTCAACCTCCGATACAAGATGCTTAAGTGTTACGTGTGGCCTGTTCTCCTGTACGGAATGGAAGCATGGACGTTAAAGGCCAGTTCCATTAACAAACTTGAAGTGTTTGAAATGTGGTGCCTGCGTCGAATGCTCAGAATATCATGGACGGACAGGGTCAGAAATGAGGAAGTACTCAGAAGAGCGGGCTTACAGGATATAGAACTTTTTAATTATGTAAAAAGTAAGAAGACTGCATACTTGGGGCACATTATACGAGGAGAACGATACACTTTTCAGCAACTGATACTCGAAGGGAAGATAGAGGGTAGGAGAGGTCTCGGACGTAAAAAAATGTCATGGCTGCGCAATATTCGACAATGGACAGGAATCCACAGCTATGAAATGCTTCGCAATGCTGCTAAAAACAGAATTATTTAATCCAGAATATTTAACATCTCACCTGACAAGACGATGTACGGTGGACGCCTACGCAAAAATGCACGGCACCTTAAGAAGAAGATGTGTGAGCTCGTCTTTCCCAATTTGCGATCCAGATTTCAAGAGTGCTACGAGCGAGATGGTCCACATCTAACCGACGTGTTATTTAAGAAGTAAAATCCGCATGTTCTGTGTGTCTATTTTCGTAATAAATGTTTTTCTAACATGTTATGAAACAGAGTTTTGTTGATTTAAAACTAAAATTTACTCTGAGACACTCTGTATATATATATATATATATATATATATATATATATATATATATATATATATATATATATATATATATATATATATTACTTGTGAACTATATTATTTGCTGGTATCAGAGTTGCTTCTTTTCTTTTCTTAACATATCTTTCATGTCTACGTTTTATTTCTAGAATTTCCTTCATTTCTTCCTTATCTTCATCCTAAATACAATACAAAATATTTATTGAAATATTTATTATATTCTATGTTTATATATATATATATATATATATATATATATATATATATATATATATATATATGCGAAAGGAGCACAATTCGTCAAACCCTCCGTGTATCAATTGGTATTGTTATAACGTTAATTCTGCATCCCTAAGTCTTCAGATTGACTACCGATATACAAGGTTAATTTACAATACATACAAAAACGCAACTATGTCGGTGAAACTATATGAAAAGACGGATCACATCCCAATCGGCAGAGGAGTCCGACAGGGTGATACCTTATCGCCTAAACTGTTTACCGCAGTACTAGAATATGCTTGTAAAAAACTTAAATGGGAAGAGAAAGGCCTGAACATTGACGGTAGAAGATTAACAAATCTGAAATTCGCAGACGACATATTTTTGTTCTCGGACAACCTCAAGGAGATATGTACAATGCTACATGAGCTTCAGTTAGTGTGTGCCAATGTGGGTCTTAAAATAAACAACTCCAAAACAAAATTCATGACAAACCTAGTACCTAGCGGAAATATCAATATTGGAGACAACGAAGTAGAGCTCGTGGAAAAATACATATATCTTGGACACGAAATAAAGATCACAAGAGAGAATCAAACATGCGAACTACGAAGAAGAGTAAACCTAGCATGGTCAACCTATGGAACACTCAAAGACATCTTTAAAAGCGATATACCAATTTCTTTGAAACGTAAAACATTTGACCAATATGTGTTGCCTGTGATGACTTATGGTGCCCAAACCTTGACATTGATAGCTACAAGTTCTAGGACGCTGCAAGTAGCTCAGAGGAAAATGGAAAGATCAATGCTGAGTATATCGCTTCGTGACCGAGTTAGAAATAAAGACCTAAGACGAAGAATAGGAGTTACCGATGTAATTTCCCGAATTGCCACACTGAAATGGAACTGGGCTGGACACGTCGCCCGAATCAGTGATGAAAGGTGGACGAAGAGATTGAGTGGAGGCCGAGGTTAGACAAAAGAAGTAGAGGAAGATCGCCTACACGATAGACTGACGATCTCAAAAATATGTCAAGAAATTGGATAAAAAGTGCTCAAAACAGAGCACAATGGACACAAATGAGGGAGGCCAATGTCCAACAGTGGACGCAAAGGGCTGGATGATGATGAAGTCTTCAGATAGTTGGGTAGATACAAACTCGTATACGGAAAGCGAGCAAATGTGTCCTGCTATTTGTGACATCCTGTGATAACAAAAAGTAATGAAAACATAGATGTTTCGATAGAAAAGTACTAAGGCATATCTATGGATTGGCGAATGACAATGTAGAGTAGAGAAGACGAAACAACTGCGAATTTTATAGAATATACTAGGAAGCAGATATCGCAAAATATATTAAGATAGGATATCTGAGGAAGGTGGAGCGTGTAATGAGGATGGAATAAAATAACCCAGCTAGAAAAACGCTCCTTGATAGACCTATTGGTCAGAGAAGAAGAGGAAGAACAAGTTACCTTGATAACATCAATGAAGACATGATAAATATGGGAATACGTGCTTGGCGGAGAAAGGCGGTGAATAAGAACGACTAGAGAAGAAAGTATTGAGGAGGCTAGGACCCACACAGGGTTGTAAGTGTGATTCGTTTTATTGCTACATTATGGTAGGCCTTTTTCTTCTTGTACACCAAATCTCTGATTTCGGTATTGATTCGTGACTTTGTATGTTTGTTGTACAAAGATTAATTTTCATAACTCCTATAATATATATATATATATATATATATATATATATATATATATATATATATATATATATATATATATATATATATATATATATATTGTTAAGGTTCCAAAAAAACTTAAAGAACGATACAAATTGTTATTTGGAAATAATCTGGACAAAAAAAATAAGTAAGTTTGTTTACTTAAGAAAATGTATAAAATTATTTCTGTCATTAAATATAAGATATGTAAATTAGTGGGCTTATAAAAAATGAAAGCAATTTTTGGATAAAAAGTGACAGTTTTGACATTTTGCGGAAAAATAGAAAAATAACTTTGACAAACGTCACTCTCTTTAGAATTTCCGAAGGAAGAACGGCTGTTTTAAGAGTTTCGTCGGTGCTGGTGGTAGAAGGCTTAATGCAGTGAAGAGTCAATGGAATGGTGAATTTTTGTGTTGTTTGCTGGAGCTGAGAAAGTTAGAATTTAAAATTGCCAAAGGGTAGTCTTCGTGGTTTTGTTTTCCTGGTGGGCTATATAGAGGTGTTTCGAGAGCCCTGAAAAAGAACCTTACCAGAACTGTAAGTTTGTTTCTTTATTTAAAAATTGCCGTGGCGAAGTGAAATCTTGCAAGAGGGACTTAATTGACTTTTGAATTTTTTTTATTGTCAGGAACATTTGCTGGGTTTATATTTAAATAATCGAAGGACTTAAAATTTAGTATAATAGTATTGTTTTTCATAAAGGGTTTGCATGGATAAATGTTAATTAATATATATTTTTTTAAATTTGTTAAATATAATCTGATTTGTTTATTGATTGAATATTTGTATATTATTTTGTTTCTTTCCTTTTTGTCCTCTTACCTAAAATACAACGAGATCGATATTTGAAGCACAATCCTGATAATAAATTGAGGATTTGTTGGTAAGTTTTGTTTTTTTAGTAACAATTAATTGAATAATTGGTAAATATAGATTCTACTTACCATAACAATATATATATATATATATATATATATATATATATATATATAAATATAATATATATATATATATATATATATATATATATATATATATATATATATATATATATATATATATATATATATATATATATATATATATATATATATATATATATATAGCGAGTGTTTGCAACTTTAATTTTGTCGCTTCTCGCATCCCAATCGCCATAATTTCTTATCGGCCCAGTCTCCTTCTTGAAGACCTCTATTTTCCATTTCTATATGAATATTGGATATCCATTTCTTTCTTGGCCTTCCCCTTTTATTTCTCTGTGTAGGTCTCCAGTTCCAAACCTTTCGTGGTATCCTTTCTTCGTTCATCCGTCTCAGGTGTCCATACCATTTTAATTGTTTTTCGGCTATCGTATCCATTATTGTGTTCTTTACTTTCATTCTCTCTCTTATGTTTTCATTTCTTATGTGGTCAAACAAAGTTAACCCGGAACATCTTCTTCAGTACATCATTTCCGTTGAGAGGAGTTTTTGTGACATATTATTGTTAAAGACCCACCCTTCTGACCCATACGTAAGCACCGGCTGAATCATAGCCTGATATATATTTTTCTTTATTTTCTTAGTTAAAGTTTTATTCCACAGGATCGGATGTAGTGTTTTTATCATGTTTTTTCCTTTTCCTATTTTTCTTGTTATATCTTTGTCGTCTCTCCCGTCTTCGCTTAGTGTAACTTCGAGATATTCGTACTGATCAACGTTTTTAATTAATCCGATTTCTGTTTCCATGTCTTGACCGATGCCTCCTATATTCATGTATTGTGTCTTTTCGGTATTAACCTCTAATCCCCATTTTTTGAATTCGTCAATTAGTTTGTTTATCATGTACGTCATATCTTGTAGGTCCTCGGCAAGAACTACCTGGTCTTCTGCGAATAGGATTGTGTATATAGGAGTGTCATTTACCCATATGCCCATTGGGCTGCATTTTCTCATCCAATGTTTTAAAGCATTACCAAGATATATTTTAAACAGGGTTGGAGAGAGGCAAGAGCCCTGTTTGACACCCTTTGTTTGGGTGAAACCCTTGGAAATTTGGTTTCCAACCTTAATATAAGCTTGGTTATCTTGATATAGCTTTTTCACGGCATTTATATATACTGCATTTATACCTGCGTTTTCCAATGTTGTCCATAGTCTCTGCAGTGGTACGGAGTCAAACGCTTTACGGAGATCTATAAAAGTGGCATGAAGTTCTAGTTCTCTTGCTAATCTCTTTTCCGTTAGGTGTTTGAGAGTAAATACATTGTCGACACACGATCTCCCTGGTCGGAATCCACTTTGTTCTTCGATCTCTGTGGCTTCTTTTTCTATTCTGGCTTTCAGAACTCTTTCATACAGTTTGCCAGTGGATGACGTAATGCTGATACCTCGGTAATTACTGCAGTCATTCCTGTTTCCCTTTTTGTAGATGGAGTTTATGTACGAGACTTTCCAATCTCTTGGGATACTTTCTCCTTGTAGGCACTTGTTAAACATTTTACAAAGCAATTCTAATGTTATTGCAGTGGCATGTTTGAATAACTCGATAAGTAAATCACCCGGCCCAGGAGCTTTATTATTTTTCATTTTTTGTAATGCGTTTTTTATTTCTTCTACGGTAATCATCGCCACTTCATTTAACTCCGTTTCAACTCTATCTATCTGTGTGTCTAGAAACTGTGTACGTTGTTCATTTAATAGATTTTCATAATAATTTTTCTATGTCTATGGGGTTTATTTTTTTTGTTTCGTTTGTATTTTTTCTAAGACTGTTGATAGTTTTCCAAGCTTGTCTGGACCTAGATCCTCCTACCGTTGAGCTTATTTCTGCACACTTGTTGTCCCAGGTTATGTTTTTTGTTTTTTTAATTTCCTTTTTTACTATATATTTGTATCTGTTATAGTTCTTTCGGTCTTCCTCATCTTTTGTCGCTAACCATTTGAGATACAGTTTTTTCTTTTCTTCTACCAGTTCTAATAAACCTTCTGTCCACCAATAATTTCTACGTTTTACTTTTTCTTTCGTACCTAGAGCTTCTAATGCTGCTTCATGAATTTTGATTTTCAAAGTCTCATACATTTCTTCCGCTCTTCCGTTTATTTCTTCGTCTAATTTTCGTGCCAAACGTAGTTTATAAAGAAAACTTGTGGACTCATTTTTTAAGCTGTCTATGTTATAGAGCCGTATGGATTCTTTGTTTGTCTGTTCTTGGGATTTATTTTGTTTAATATATCTTATTTCCACGGGTGCCTTTACTAGTAGGTGATCCGATCCACATTCTGCCCCCCTCCAAACTTTTACATCGTAGGGTCTTAAAGATGTCTCTTGTTTAACTACTATATAGTCTATAATTGACTGCAATTTTCTTGTCTTTTGAGTTCATGTATATTTATTTATGTCTCTATGTTTGTAAAATCCATTCAGTATTTTTAACGAATGTTGTTCGCATACCTCCAACCATCTTGTTCCGTTCTCATTTACTACATCTTCTCCGTGTTTTCCAATTATTTTGTTGTCAAGAGCTTTACCTACTCTTCCGTTCAGGTCCCCTAGCAGGACTATTTCTTGCCTTTTTTTATTTTATTTAACTCTTCTGAGAGTTTGTCGAAGAACATGTCTTTAGTGTTTGTATCTGAGTCGTCCGTGGGTGCATAGATGCCAATTATTTTTATGTCTCTCCCCTTTGTTGTAAGGTCTACTGTTATAATTCTTTCGTCTATCGGGTTCCAGTTGGTAATACATTTTTCCATGTTTTTTCTTATCACGACCGCTACTCCAGCTTTGGCTCTTTTTGATTTTTCTACTCCACTCCAGAAGTATATATAATCGTCTTTGTAGTGGTTCCCCTGTCCTTTCTTTTTTGTTTCGCTTAGTACTGCGATGTTAATTCGGTATGTACTGAGTTCCTTAAATACTTGGTCTTCTTTTGTATTCAGTCCTTGTATGTTCCAACATCCAAAATTCGTTAGCCTTTTTCTTTGCCTATGTCGTTTTCCGTTGAAGCCATCCGAGTTTCGAGGCTGTTCTTTGGGATTTTTAGCAATATTTCTTTTACGCAGCTTTAACTCCTATAATACTCTGAAAAAATCTTATATAGATATTTGAAGGTTCTAAAATGTGATTTTGCTTTGTTTTTTTAACAATCTTAAAAAGTGAAAAAAATATTTTTTGCCTATAAAACATTTTTTATACATGGCGGCGTGTTACCTATCCAACGGTAACTTAACCATCACAAATTAGAAACACTAATAATGTAAAACAATTTCAAATTTATAACTTTTAAGGGGTTTTTACCCATATATTTTGGTGGCTACTAGCATGTACAACCGTTTGCACTGATGATGGATTGTTTAATCCGAAAACGTTTTGCAATGTGTTTGTGATAGCCCGTTTGAGGCAATTTTATATACCTTTTATAAAGGATTTTAACAAATTTTTTTGTGATATATGGTATACAGCCAACTACAGGAACTTAGTTTCCTCGTGGAATTTTATTTTATCTTTCTTTATTTCTGTAGTAATTAAGCAACTATCTCCTTTGTTATTTGACCAAGGGTGCTGTTACAGTTATTATCTGTCAAATTCTTTATTTAATAAGTTCTGAAGTATTAATACATTCTTTTCGAGCGGTATAAAATATCTAATATCTCATCATTTTCTCTATCAAGTACACATGTCACGAATCTTATATTCTTACTCGTTCTTACATCCTATGTAACTTGCTCTGACATTTGTCTATTAGAAATTACAGCAACTAAATTTCCACTGTTCTTACATACCTCAATTTTAAACTTGTAGATTTCAAAATTTGATATTTTTATCGCTAAGATAATTCCATTAAACAAACTTTCGATTTTATTTTTTATTTTTCTATTAGTAATTATTGCAATTCCATTTTCTAGTGTTGCATTTCCCTACATACCATAATTTGTATCCGTCGCCTAGTTCATTCGCACGTTGCTGTTTCCAATTTATCTTTCGGATATAAGTAATGTGTACACGTCTTTTTTTAATGCATCCACTAACTGACTCACCATTGAACAGAGGATATTTTTGCTTTATGAACAGGTTTCTTCATGAGATATAGTATTTTGGTATAATTGTGTTGATTCTGGAGGTATTTTCAGAATTAGTTAGGCCCTGAAAATATTTTGCAGCTTTAGATACATGAATCTGTTTTTTAAAAGCAGATTCGATTTTTCCACCACGATTTTCCAACTAATGGAACCACTGCAGTGTTACTGTACAGGGTAGGACAGGCCAGTTTCATGACTTTTTCGTCAGTCAGTGTATTGTTGACCCAATCCTGTCACTAGAAGGCAAGTACCTACATACCTTGCGATACATTACTTCCACATTTAATCAGTGAATACTTATAGTTTTAAATTGGAGTTCTAGAAAGTGTATAGGTATTACAGCTTAACCTACTCAAACCTACTCTTTTAAAAACCAAAAAGTTATAGTTACCGACTGATTCAATCGCAGAACCAAAGCCCGTTTTCCATCCGACATTGGTTGTGAGTAAACCATTAGCTGCCGATGCCTCTCAGGAGGGCTTACTCCTCTTTCAACCACAAGTACAATTCTAGCCCACTGAAAAAGACATATCATGTAATATTAAAAAAATATGTATTTTTAAAATTAAATATTTCTACAAAATATCTATATTTGTTTAAAGTCCTGAACCGTTTCATCATGGCTCAGATAAGTAGAACTATTTTTTCAGCACAATACATTATTTGGAATAGAGCTTCACTTCCATTAAGAAAATGCATGCCTAGAGGCGTCAGAAATGAAGATCACAAACAAAAAACGATACCTACTGAAGATATTCGCCGCCATTCCTCTTTCCAAAAACCACAAGTTTCTAATAAAAAAAAAATAAACCAAGGAGCTACTATGACACAATATGGAAAAATGAGAAAAACTAGTATGTACCTAAAAATATTTATAAGAAGTGCAAAAAGCAAAGATTTTGTAAGTGCAAAAGTGTATATCATAGTTCAATTATATTATTATATTTAAAGGATTAGTATGTACCAAATATGTACCGAAAAATACTTATAAATAGTGCAAAAACCAAACATTTTTAAATGGATATTTCTATCTTCCTTGTATGTGGTGTAATAAAAGTCAAAGAAAAATATCTACCTGTCTTTGCCACTCGTTTCTTGTCTCTGCTATCTTTTGGTAAGTATTTCCCATCATGGCTATTAACATGTTTATTAACAAAATAGCAACGATTGCCATAAATATTACAAAAAGAATCTGAAACAGGATAGCGGCCATAAGCTATAACTATTAATTATAATAATAAATTATTATGAAATTATTAAGAGAGAATAACTAAAACGCAAAGAAAAAGCTATTATAACTATATTTTTATTATAGATTTCTCATCAAATTAATTAATTACTATTTAACTGGGAATTAGCCACAATTAAAGATAAAAATACGTTTATTTAAATAAATATTTTATAAATAAACGCATTTTTATCTTTAATTGTGGCTTATTCCCAGTTAAATAGTAATTAATTTAAAATGCCACAAGAAAATAGCTTCAGAACAATATCATGAAATTAATATTATCAGCTCTATGTATTTTTCGATTACATCAACCAGGATCTAAATAATTGTCTTTTTCATGAGTTTGATGTGCACGTTTAGTCTTAGTCTCAATTCAAACGCAGTCATTAACGGATCTGATTAAACATTTAGCTGTGCTAAAAAATTTCATTTTTGAATATAGAACCTAATTATCTCTTAAGGAATGTTTTAAGTGAGAAAAAATCTAATGAGGCAAGATTCGGTGATCACGAGAGCCATTCTATGGGTCCACGTTGTCCAATCCATCATCAGAGAAAAACTGTTTAAATAATTTCAGACTCTGCGTGCATAATGAGATGAAACTCCGTCTTGTTGGAAGATGCTGTCTTAATGAAAATTTTGTGAATGATTTGACGAAATATTTTAATCAGATTATATTTATTCAAAATGAAAATAATACAATACTAGTTCAAGCACAGGATGTCAAAAAGAGATAAAAAAATATTTTGACAGTTTATTTTATAAATAATTTTTACAGAAAGCCAGTTGATTTAACAGATACATTCTACAGGTTATCATCCAAGGTAAAATAAAAGATGTAGAGGACTGGGTAGCCCACAAATCTCTTGGCTGAAAAATCTGAAACACTGGACGGGCAAAACATCCTTATAACTGTTTAGAACCGCAGTAAACAAACCGCAAATAAGGATTGGGAACGGGAAGAAGAAGCTGATATAGCTGTATTATAAATTAAAACAGCACATGCTACGAATCGCTAATTATGCTAATTTTTTACTGCTATGTATTTAGTAAATAATACTCAATACTTGTACATATGCATTATTTACTATGTTTCTATTATGTGCTATATCAATTTTAATTCCCTTCACAGATCTGATCGTTTTCCATTAGTTTTTCTTTCTAAGAGGTATAACCATCTTAACCATGTTCCCCATTTTGGCATCAAGTTGTACCACATCTAGATTTATAATAAATTCACTTACTTTTATCCCTTTTTGTCAACCCCCTTAATTATTTTTTCAACTTTGTGTTGTTTTTTTATTTGTAGCTACATAATATGTAGGAACATAGTAACTAGTCTTATGGTAGTTTTATACAATTTTCCTTTCAATTTTATCGGCATCTTTCTGCCATTAAACATACCACTATCTTTCTTCAATTGAATTCAGCCAACTCTGTCTCTACTATACATGTACTATACATGTAGTGACATGTAAGTGAGCTAGTGACCACTTAGTTAGTTGGGGCTTAACTTAAATTTTTGTCAAAAAGTTGAAGTTTCGGTGCTCATGCAAAATTAGCACTAAATAGGAGTTAAGCACACAGACTCCTTTCAAATCAAAATGGCTTTAATAGAGAGCGAGCCACTTGACAGAAAAGAGCACAGCGGTATGCAGCATGAGTAGTTTAGCAAAGGTGTGTTTCTTAACTTAACGGACACAATACTACGCCAAACTTCTATAGTTACGAAAATGAGGGCATGTGTCGTTTTGTTAGCCATGGGCGTAGAAAAAAAAATGAAATGGTTGTAATGAAATAATTATATGCTAAATTGAACATGTTTTATATTAAACTACTACTGTAGTGAATTTTATTAAAGGTTAATTAATTTAGAAGAAGAGATAGCCATAGATTCACCCAAAAATAGAAAGTCACCAGGACCAGATGGAATAACCAACGAGCATCTAAAATACGGAGGAGAAAGTATAATGCTAGATATGGCAAAACTTATACAAACACTAATATTGCACTGGAAGATACTAGACACATGGAGAAACAGTATAATGATACCAATTTTCAAAAAAGAAGATAAAGAAGACCCCAGAAATTATAGAGGTATAAATCTACTCAACACCGCACTTAAACTTACCACAAAAGTCCTAACCAACAAAATCAATAAACCAACAACTTTATCAGATGAACAACAAGGATTCAGATCCGGAATATCCTGCGTAGACTCCGTATTTGTACTAAGAAAAATCATAGAAACGGCCATCGAGTACAATAAACCAGCATATCTATGTTTTATAGACCTGACAAAGGCTTTCGATCGCATCCAAGTCGAAGACGTCTTACAACTACTGTATAAAAGAAACATACCAATCAATATTATATAAACCATCGAAAACATCTACTTCTTCTTCTTAGCCTTCTGTCGTCCATGTTTGGACATAGGCCTCTCCCAACTCCTTCCATAGGTCTCTATCCTGAGCAACATATTTCTAATTTGTTCCGGCTGTTCTTTTAATGTCATCAACCCATCTCATCTGTGGTCTTCCTCTTGGTCGTTTACTTTCGTAAGGTCTCCAATGTTGTATTGTAGTATTCCAACGTTGGTCTTTCTGTCTAGCAGTGTGGTCCGCGAAGCTCCATTTAGGTTTGGCAATTTTTGTTGTTGTGTCCTCGACTTTTGTTTTGGATCTTACCCAGTCGTTCCTCTTTTTATCTGACAGTCGTATACCTAACATTGCTCTTTTCATTGTTCTTTCTGTTGTGGCTAGTTTATTAATGTTTGTCTTGGTTAGGATCCAGGTTTGACATCCATATGTCATGATAGGAAGGATGCATTGGTTGAACAATTTGTTCCTCAAGTATGGGGGTATTTTGCGGTTCTTAAGAAGTCAACTAAGTTTAAGAAATCCTGCCCATTCTAGTCTTGCTCTTCTAGTAATTTCCGCACTTTGGCTCTCTTTGTCAAGTCTCAGGATTTGGCCTAGGTAGATATATTCCTGGATTTGTTCTATCTCACTGCCGTTTATAGTTATCTGTCTATATCTGTGTTTGTCATTATTTTTGTTTTTTTCATATTCATTTTTAGGCCGACGTATTGGGAGCTGGCTGCTAGTTCCCCCCATGTGCTCGCTATAATCACTATGTCGTCAGCGAATCTGAGGTGGTTTAACTTGTTGCCATTAACGTTAATGCCATAGGTTGACCAATTTGTAGTTTTGAAGACGTCTTCTAGGGCTAGGTTGAAAAGCTTTGGCGATATTACGTCTCCTTGTCTCACTCCTCTCTTAATGGGGATGGGATTTGTATTTTCGTCTACTTCTACATCTACATCTACTTACATAATTGAATACAGGCAAAGATAAATGGAAAACTAGTAGTCAGACAAGGTAACTTGTTAAGCCAACTTCTATTTAATATAATAATGGACGAAATAATACAAGCAGTACGTAAAGGTCATGGTTACAGAATGATAAACAAAGAAATCCAAACATTATGTTATTTGGACGACGTCGCATTAATCGCCGAGACAGAAGACGACCTCCAAAGATTAATACACATCTTCAATACAATAGCCAAGAAATACAATATTATGTATGAAAAAACTAAATATATGACAAAATCTAAATACCCAATACGATGTAAAATCGAAATTGATTTGAAAATAATAAAGCAAGAATCAATGTTTAGATATCTGTAAATAGATATAACTAGTTACGGAGATGTTGAAGAAGAAGTACGACAACAAAGTTTTAAAGCAAGTAAAACGGCGGGATCTCTTAATGACACAATCCGGAAGGACAAACACCTAAGACAAGACAAAAAAACAAGAATCTATAAAGCAGTAATTAGACCTATATTAACATACACGCGGGAGACAAGACCTGACACATCTAAAACGAGACGACTACTAGAAACAACAGAGTACTCCGACGAATATCAGGGAAAAGTCTTCCAAACTTTAAACAGTTGGATAGGGAGAGAAGCGAAAACATAAGAAGAGCATACAATAGAGAAGACATAAATGTATGGGTGACAAAACGGAAACAGGAGTAGAATGAACACATTGGTAGAATGGCAGAGGATAGGATAGTACGAAGAGCACAGGTAAGTCACCAAATGAACAAAGAACTATTGGCAGACCAAGAAAAAGATGGTGCGATAATTTAAACAATTTAGGAGGTTATTATTGAAAAAGGCTTTACAGTCTACATAGAAGAAGGAAGAAGCAGAAGAAGTTAATTAATTTAGCACACAACGGTTTTATTTCATATTTAACTATCTTAGACTTCCTTTTGCCATCTTCAATAATTTAAAGATGGACTGAGACGTATTAATTTATAGATGGACTTGGATAATATTTTTAATACGTTGTACAAATTTAAGAAATTTGTAAGGTCATTTTCATGGCTCCAGATTGCAAAGGTGTCATTCACATTCTGGAACCAAAAAATAGTTTCTTATTTGCAAGTCGTAGTGCTTATTGTTCAAATTTTTCTATGCTTTCCAGTCTTTTTTAAGTTATTTGTTTCTCATTGAGTATATTATTTGGCATTTTATATTATTTATTTTTATTTATTCTATGAAAGTCTAAATGTCATTTAAGAAATGCTAAATATACTGTTACATACTCCGAGGAAAGGCTATGTGGATCAAACAAAAAAAAATGTAATACAAACACTAATTACTTTAACATTAAAAGTTTTGAATAAGAAGATGAGGTTTAACTGTACAAACTATTTCTATATATGTTTATAGATATTATCATTATTGATATTTATTTAACAGAAAGAAAACACCAACTTATTTATACAAAAGGAAACAAAAAAATAAATGTAAAAAATGTCAGTGTGAGGGGGTTCTAAAATGGTTCTCATAAATTAGAGTTTTTAATTTTCGTTTGTTTTTCCAAACTTTATATAGTGTAGGGTATTCTATATATTATTTTATTTATTGGCTGGACTTAAGATATTCTTTTTTGATAAATGTATATGTTATATGTTAATTAATGTCATCAGTCATACCTTCGCTTCATACTCATGCTCTGTCCTTGCAAAGGCATCATAATAGTCTCCAAAATTGGTTAAAGACATTAAAAACATAGCCATAATTGACTCCATAGGCGTGGATATTGGATTTGTGGCGGAATCATCAACATCTTCTGGTGTCAACGGATTATCAAAGGAAAGAAAAATTATGTAGTAAGCTAAAATGACAAAATTAATTTATTTACTCTTATCTTTATTAACTTTTATTCTCTTTTTTTGGCATATACACTTAATTGAAGTGAAAAATATTTCAATATTTTGAAATTAAAATTGTTGTATCATCTAAATGACCTCCAATGTTTTATAAAATATTAATTAAGAGATTATTCTTAATATTTACAAAAATAAATAAACTTTTACAAAATATAAATTCAATTATTGCTACAAAATATAAATGTTCACATATATTTACAAAAAAAAAAAATTTGGAATTTCTATTTTTCTTTTCATAATATAAGAAATAATATTTTTAATTTTAGTGTCCAATTGTGTAAGGTGTCCTCAGGCCTATGTAAACTTTATATAAGCCACGGTTTTTAACGGGTTTTTATGAATAACTTAAAAATATGCCTTTGATCGAAAAAGTATGCAAAACAAGAATGAAGCTTATAAAAGAGGAATGAGATTTATTTTTTACAAAATATTCTAGATACAACACAAAGTAAGATATGGTAAAAGAAGACATTTTTTTGGGAATATTTGGATCAAGATTGAACGTAAATTGTAAGAAAAGGGACGATTTTTCGGAGGTAATGATATTAACGTTTTTTATAGTCCATGAAACAACTTTAAAATGAGCGATACAAAAAGGCATTTGCATGTAAACTAAGAAAGTTAAAGCTCATAAAATATGAAATCTTCGAATATTTTAAGGAAAAAAGGGCAGTATAATTAACCTAATATCCAGCAGAATCAAAATTAATCATTTTCCTTCTATATTACATTTTATTTTAGTCTTCACCATTATATCTAGGAGTTTGACTGATTTCATCATCATCATCTTTGGCTCGACAAACCTCTGTGGATCTTGGCCTGCTCTAAGATTCGTCGCCATTCTGTTCGATTTTTGGCAACATGTTGCCATCTTCTGATTTTTAATATTCGTAAGTCGGTTTCTACTCCATCTAACCACCTAATTCGCGGTCGGCCTTTGCTTCTTTTTCCTACAGGTGTTCCTGTGGTTAGCTTTTTAGCAATGGTATTTTCTGGCATTCATATTATGTGTCCAGCCCATCTAAGTCGCTGTATTTTAATGAACGTTATGACATCTGGCTCATCAAAGAGCTGATACAATTCAAAATTATATCTTCTGCGCCACTGCCCTTGGTCGTTTACAGCTCCAAATATTTTGCGGAGTATTTTACGCTCAAATATTCCCAAAAGTCTTTCATCTTTCTGCGTTAGAGTCCATGTTTCTGCTCCATATGTGAGGACCGGCCTCAGCACTGTTTTGTATATAATAATTTTAGTTTTTCTTTGAATGTTTCTTGAGTGGAAATGCTGTTGGAGTCCATAGTATGCCCTATTTGTAAGATTTATTCGTCTTTTGATTTCTTCGCTTGTTTTATTGGTAGCAGTCAATAGCGACCCAAGGTATGTGAAGTTGTCAACACGTCCAAAGGTATGACTTCCAAAGACTGTTTCTCGTTCCTCATTTGCTATCGGATCCTTTGTAACCAACGTGTACTTGGTTTTGTCTTCGTTGATGACTAGACCGACCTGTTTCGCCGCTGTTTCCAATTCTAGGAGATATTGCTCAACATCTCGCCTGCTTCGCCCTACTATGTCAATGTTTGACTGATTTAAAGTGCATTATTTGCGAAAAAGTTATATTACATGGTATCATTTTTTTTTAATTTTTTTTTAAATTGTTCAATTTTTCAAAATATCTTAAAAGTTATAAAATATACGTAAAAAATGATATACAAAAATGAATTACTTTTTTCAATAAATACTCTCGTTATTTATAAACTTCTATATCGTAAAAACGATGGAGATATCACTCATTAAAATGTATGTCCTGGTGCGAACACCACATGTTTCGAGTGCTCCAAACCTTAATTTTTCAAAATTGAGGAGTTCTAATGAACCTAACCTTGTAGCCCTTAAAATTACCTTACAAATGACTATGTATACATATATCAAAGTATTTTGATATTAACTGGAAAATTAACTGATTGTTGGGAGCAAATTTTGGAGCGTGAAAAATATACGTATTTTGGAGCTCTCAAATATCCAAAGGTCCTTACCCACTTTTGTTATTCGATGACGTTGGTACGAGAAAGTCAACGAAATCAACACTATATCCTTTATTTCCATAGCTTGACATTACCTTAGTCAAAGAATCTTCTCGTTACGTAATTTCTGAAGATACGTTGCTGTACCGAGTCAAGTGGCCTTCAAATTGTACGTATGAATGTGTTTTTAAAGAATACGTTAATTATGTTAAAAGACACTTTGCTAATAACGAAGGTAACAACGTAAGTGTTCTTTTGACGATTATGAAAATGACAATAATACAGTAGTGGAAGGGAAATGCAAGTATGCGTTACCCAAGATAAATTTCTGTCAAATACAAGAACAAAAGTTGTTTTATATCTTAAGTGCCATCAAGGTGAAGAAGAAACTGATGAATTGATCTTTGAGCTAGCTCCTACAAGTGAGTCGAATTTACAAACGATTGTAGTAGCAAATTATGTCGATGTCATTTTAGTAATTTTGACAGCTTACAAAGAATTTTATTTTCTTAAATTTGGAAGGCGAAATGCTTTCACTTGGTGTATTATTCAAAAATTTTTGAGGCAGATTATCCAAATTATGCAAAACTAATACTTTTTGTACGTTTTTTCACTGGCTGTGATGGGATGACAGCTTTTTTTAACAAAAGGAAAAAAATTGTCGATTTTTAAGGAAAACGCTCTGACTTACTAGGAAAGGCTCAGTATTTTATGATAGCATTTCCAAGATAGACGACATTATGTAAGCTAACGGGTACTGCACACTTTTATTATTATATAGCTAAGGATACTCACGTGAATAAATTGAATAAAATTGAAGATTATTCATTGATTCTACAGTTAATGAGGTACTAAAAAGGATACTGCTGTTAAATTATCTTCGTTTGTGCCAACAGTTGGTGCTCTCAATGAGCATATTAAAAGAATATACTTACAAAGCCAGTTATGCTGGGAAATAAGAATATAATTAATTGAAGGTAGTTCAATGATGAAGAAACTCTACAACCAGTAAGAATGTGAAGTTTGCCTACACTACAGAAGCTGTTGAAGATGATATCTTGTAATTGCACAAACGGTTGCGGATCTTCCAATTTTTCTTTTCCCTCAATCTTTCCGTTGAATAACGAGAGTCTAACTAACATGCCCTGTAGGAGTCATATTTGGAGAACATGCAGGCCAATTAATTATCTGAACTTTGCGTTCTTTGGGAATTTCATTAAATGCGAGAACGGTAAACCAGGACATTATAGTCTCTTAAAAAATATTGTCCTGTATTTTTAGAAAATGGCACAATAATCGGTAGGATAACCAAATGGAAAAACTATTCCACCCACCTCTGAATGGTATAGTAAAATCCATAATTTTTTTAAAATGCCGTTGGCTGGGCTCTCTCCGTAGACGAGATCATCCATCTGAATGTGAAATACAATATTGACTCATCAGTACACAAATACTTTTATTAATTGTTTAGAGACCATTGTAAATATTCTTCCTACATTATTCGCTAAATAAAATTTATATACTAAAAGGTTATTGAAATATGCGATATACTTACCTTGAGAGAATCCCATAACAAAAACCAAATATATTGTCGCAAATCGAATTAGATCTCCCATTACCATTCTGTATATCATCACTACGAACGGACCAACAGTTTTGAAACCCCTAGAAAGGTTTAAAAATTATATTTATATGAATACAAGAATATTCATATTTTTATATAATAATACGCCATTGGGCACAAAAAAATTATTTTACCTGGTGAACTAACTCATGTGCATGTCCCGTTTAAAGTTAAATAATTACAAGATAGAATAACTACTAAACTGTGAGTTTAACATAATGGAATGTAAACTGTTTGGATTATATGTTGAACTAGTCATTGGAAAAATTTCTCATGTATGTCAACGATCAAAAAATTGGTGAAGTTTATCATGGAGAAAGAATATAATAGGTCACTAATCTTTCTCAATGTTATTCTCAAAAAAGGATACTAGATATGAAATTAGAATATACGAAAAAAATCCACAAACACCAATAGATACTTGAATGAAAATTGAAATTAAAACATAAAAGTTAAAAGGAAATCATTAAATTATTGTACGATACAATCAAAATTACTTGATAAAAATGCGTTTTTAGTGTAGATAAATTTATTAACACTTATCTTCTTAAAAAAAAAATGTGATTCGAAACGAGAATCACAATACCATGCATACAGCCTTCCCAGCAAGTATTAAAAATAGAAATTAATACATTATAACAAAATTTAAAATAATTATGAAGTTAAATGTCGATAGAAATTAAAGTAAACTGTATACTCAAGCTTAATCAAGCGATGCTGGAAATATTTATATTCCACTATGAATCAACAATTTATCCATATAAATTACCATAATTTTTGTACTCATTTCGTCGAGTAAGGACGATAACACAATAAATACATATATGTAAACGGTTGCGTTTCGATTTAATTTGAGTCTCTTACCATTCACTAACACGTGTTTCTGGGTCTACCCGTCATCAGAGAGAGTTTGTAGGAAGAATCAAACCAAATCAAAACGCACCGACTAGTATGGCAATTATAGGAAAATAATTACCAGAATACGCTACTAATTACTTCTAGTGAAGAAAGATGAAGTTAAATGTCGATAGCAATTAAAGTAAACTGTATACCCATGCTTAATCAAGCCGTTCAGAGCGATGCTGGAAATATTTATATTCGACTATGCATCAACAATTTACCCATATAAATTACCCTCATTTTTGTACTCATTTCGTCATTTTATTTTAGGTGAGTTTAGTTACTGTTAGGCGAGTAAACGAATTACTAAGTCTACCAATTTTCCACAGCAAAATGAATCGTTATGCAACTTTTTGCATTCGATTTGGGAAAGTGTCAGGAACGTTTGTAAACAAATCCATGGTGGTAAAATGAAAATTTCATTTTGTGCGCAAGGAAAATGCATTTTCGAAGTGCATAGAAAATGAAAAATTTTTAACTTGGAAAATCTCGACGGGAATGAGTTCAATTTTGCTACTCGGGAGTTTTCGAGTTCGTTGAACACGAATATGATAACGACGATGGTCCTCGAGCTACCTGGTGCCCAGGGTGAACCTAGTTTCTTGGAGTTTTATGTTATTTTATTCGAAATCAACCAAAAGTCATTATTAGGAGGGTTTTTATGATTGCTGAACACGAATTAACGACGGTGATGGTCTCCAAGTGAATCTCGTCTCCTAAAGTTTTATTTTAATTTGTTACTTAAATTTTTTATGAAAGCGAAAGTTAATTTATGATTTTAGTAGATATTCTATACCAAAACTGGTGCAAAAATCCTATTTTCTCAGAATGGTTTGCATACTATAATGAAAATCTGTACAAAGTGAATAAAACGTATAAATCAAAAGAATTATTTTTTTAATTCCACAAACTAATACTTTTTCATATCCATTTATTATTGTTGGCTTATTCTCAATAATTATAGATAATAAGAAAGACAGGCTTTGGCGTGGTCAGCAATTTTTCCAATTCACTGGAAACTTTTTCGTTCTTGATGTTCTTGATTTTTAGGGTACACATTTTGTTGAAGTTTAATATTTTTTGACATTTTTGGTGTAAATTCTAAGAATAGACTAATATCAAAGAGATACATTTCACATTTATATACCCATACCATAGTTTTTTAAAATAAAAATATATGCCCTATATCGTAGAATCCGATTGAAAAATGATCTTAATTACGAAGTTCCATCTTCCCAGTAGGTGAGCAATTATTCTTGAAAGCAGTTGCAATTAAAATGTATGCAATTCATATATTTCTCCGGTCATTTATCTGAAAATAGGGTGATACGCCAACGTACCTATGAGGTTTCGAGACAAACGGTAGATGAGTTGATGAATTCATATTGGGTGATTTCAAGTGAGAAAAATAATAATTTCTAATATATTTATAAGTTATTTCAAATTATATACAGTAGATTTATAATTATGTATATAATTTTATGTTTTGTAATGTAATTTAATGATCTCATCTTTATGCTTCTCTATAAGATGTTTTTCTTCTGAATTTAAACCTCGAAATTCAACTATATTATTAACTATTTGAGGTACACATAGATCATTATCATGTTATACAAGGTGGGGTAGGATAGGTACGTTAGAGTTATAATAACTAATACTAATGTTAAAACTAGTGTATTACAATTTATTTGAGGTATACATAGATCGTTCCCAAGATCAAGATTAAGGTCAAAGTCAAGATCAATGTCTAGGTCAAATAACCGGTTTAACCGGTTTCCCCCACCCTAATTTGCACCAGATTTGGTATAGAATATCTACTCTGATTTCTTGAATATAAATACAAATATTTTTTTATTAAGTAAAAAAAGATGATTAACGAATAATAGTATCATTCAAATTTATTTCTTCCTCATCTTCTTCTGTATCAGATAATTGATTTTCTTGATAGTTCTCCGTATTCATAGTTCTCCATATTCGTGCAAAAGAGCCCTGTCAATGTTTACATGCCAAGTTACAAATCAAGCCATTCCTTCTAAATCCACATTTTTATATCAAAAATTGTGATTTTAATAATAATTCAAAACATAGCGAGAAGAAAAAACTGTACTTTAACTATGTATTTTGAAGGATATCTTTGGACTAGTGCATGTGCTAGAATAAGTATAAGAGCACATATATCACTTGGCATTTCATCAGTGCTGCCAACAGCTTAAAAGCCCCCTATTTAAAAAATGTTTTGACTATTTTTTTTAAGTGTGGTGAAATAAAATTTAATGAGGTATTCTGAGGTCATTTATCAACGAGATTCGTATTCGGCGACCTCGAAACCCCTCAAGGAATGACTGTCGACTGATTTAGAATAAAAATAACATAAAAGTCCAGGAGAGACTGGACCTTCAGCCCTGAGACAAATTCTAAAGAAAACACAGGAATACGGTGTAGACACGCACCACATATTTATAGGCTACAAGGCAGCCTACGACTCTGTAAATAGAAGAGAATTATTTAGAGCAATGATAGACTAGGAGTACCAAATCAGTTGGTAAGTCTAACCAAACTAACCCTTGAAAAAGTTGAATGCAGAGTACGAATCCAGGGGGAACTCTCTGAACCTTTTAATACAAATGACGGGCTACGCCAGGAAGACCCACTCTCCTGTATATTATTCAATCTAGCTCTGGAAAAAGTAATACGTACGTCATATATCACAACTACCGGTTCAATATATAACAAATCTGTGCAAATCCTAGCATATGCTGATGATATCAATATTGTTGGGAGAACGGAAAACGCAGCACGAGAGGCGTATGTAGCACTAAAGGAAGCGGCTACAAAAATGGGTTTAATAATAAACATTAATAAAACGAAATACATGAAAATAGGTCCACACCCACAAATACGACGGCCACTTGTTATAGAAAACGACGTCATCGAAGCAGTTAACAAATTTGTATACCGGGAATGCTCGTCAATACTAACTAATACTTTACCGTAGAGATAAACCGCAGAATTTGCACGACTAATAGATGCTATTTTGGGCTTAATCTCCTTTTTAAATCTACAGAATACAAAAGTAAAACTCTACAAAACAATAATACGCCCAGTTCTAACATACGGTTCAGAAATCTGGACTTTAACAAAAAGCAATGAAAACATGTTAGGTTAGGTTAGGTTATTTTTCGAAAAAAAAAAATACTGAGGCGAATCTATGGAGCGGTAAATGAAAATGGTGTCTGGAGAAGACCATACAACTTCGAACTCTATAGAATATACCAGGAACCAGATATCGTAAAACACATTAAGATAGGACGTCTGAGGTGGGTAGGCCATGTAATGCGGATGGAGCAAACCGATCCAGCTAGAAAACGCTCCTTGATAGACCTATTGGTCAAAGAAGAAGAGGAAGACCCAGAACAAGATTCCTAGATAACATAGACCAAGATATGAGAAATATGGAAATACGTGCTTGGCGGAGGAAGGCGATGGATAGGGATGACTGGAAGAGAATTCTTGGGGAGGCTAGGACCCACACAGGGTTGTAAAGACAAAATGATGAAAGTCCAGGAGATGAGTTCCCCTATGAGCGCCAAGTATCTCGAGGATCATATTTGTTAACATGTTCGTGTTCAGCAACCTCGCAAACATCCAAATAATAAAATTTAATAATAAAAAATAAATAAGTAATAAAATTTATTCAAAAACTTTTCTGTAACTTCTCCGAATCGAATGCAAAAAATTGCATAACGATTCATTTTGCTTCGGAAAATTGGTAGGTTTAGTGCTTTTTAGCGCTTCATTGTCTCCCCTATAATATGGTAGATGTACCTACTTAGAGATTTCACTGAAAGTAGGTAGGAAAAAATTATGTAATTTTAAACGCTGATTATAATCCCTCTAAAATGTTTACCGAAATACCGCCAAAATCGGGAACGGTATTAATTGGGAACGGTATTTTGTTCAGGCAATTTTTTTGTGCGTATAAAAAGGCACACTTTTTAAATTTGTTTTATTTTCCGTTTTGCGTTAGGACGGTCTACGTTTTTATAGAAGAACACATAAAAACAAAGATAAAATTAAATATCAAGAAATTAATAAACAAATAAAACAGAAAATAATACAAGCTAAGGAAACATGGATGTCCATTAAATGTCAAGAAATCGAGGAATGCGAGGCAAGGTATGACACTTTCAACACCCATAAGAAGGTTAAAGAAATGATTTCAGGAAATTGTAACAAACCAATCGGGATATTAAAAAATGCAGATGGTACCACTATAACTGAAACGCAAGACAAACTACGTAGATGGAAAGAATACATTGAACAACTATTTTATGATCAAAAAGTAGAACAATTATTAGAAGTTAACGGAGAAACCACGGGACCAGAAATAATGAAAGAGGAAGTTATGTATGCTATAAAACACACAAAAGGCAGAAAAGCTCCAGGACCCGATGAACTACCAATTGAACTATTAAAGATAATTAATGAAGATAATATTGATGTCTTGGTAGACCTTTTTAACTCCATATACAAGACGGGACACATACCCAAAGAGTGGCTTCTCTCAACTTTTGTGACGATTCCAAAAGTCACAAATGCTAAAGATTGCAATGACTATCGAACAATTGCGTTAATGAGCCACACATTGAAAACCTTCCTTAAAATCATACATAACAGAATCCACATGAAATTAGAACAAGAAATAAGTGATTCACAGATGGGTTTCAGAAAGGGTCTAGGAACTAGAGAAGCATTATTTGGAGTCCATGTTCTGACACAACGATGCCTGGATATGAATCAGGACATATATGCTTGCTTTATAGATTTCAAGAAAGCTTTTGATAGAGTTCAACATGAGAAGCTTTTAAGTATTCTTAAGACTAAAAACATTGATAGTAGAGATCTACAAATTATATCGAATCTGTATCAAAACCAGAAAGCAAGAGTAAGAGTCGAAGGAGAACTGACAGAGGAAGTAAGTATACTTAGAGGAGTTCGACAAGGGTGTATCCTTTCACCACTCTTATTCAACGTCTACAGTGAAGTGAGTTTTCAAGAGGCTTTATTGGATATCGTGGAAGGTATTTATGTCAACAGAAATAGCATTAATAATATTAGATATGCCGACGATACTGTCATATTTGCAAGTGACATGGAAGATCTACAGTACATAATACAACATGTATACAATGCATGTGAAAGTTACGGACTGCAAATGAATCTCAAGAAAACGAAATCAATGATATTCTCAAAAAAACCACAAAATGTAAATAACCTGATCATCAATAATACAACGACAGAAAGAGTAAAAACATATAAATATTTAGGAACGTGGCTAACCGAAGATGGAGATCAAGTAAAGGAGATCAGATCTAGAATAGAAATGGCAAGAAACACGTTCATAAAATTGAAGAAATTACTTTGCAACCGTAACCTTAATCTAGAGATTCGCACAAGAATGCTACGTTGTTACGTCTTCTCTACTTTACTACATGGCATGGAAGCGTGGACAATAAAGCAGTCTGAAATCAAAAAATTAAACTCCTTTGAGATGTGGTGCTACAGGAGAATGCATAAAATATCGTGGATTGAAAAAGTAACTAATATAGAAGTGTTACAAAGAACGAAGAAAGAATGTGAAGTCATAAAAACTGTTAAAATTAGAAAGATTCAATATCTGGGACATTTAATGAGGGGTGAGAAGTACGTATTACTGAGGTTGATTATGCAAGGGAAGATACAAGGGAAGAGAAACCCAGGACGACGCAAAATGTCCTGGCTAAGAAATTTGAGAGAGTGGTTCGGCTGCAGCTCATTAGAATTATTCAGAAATGCGGCCAACAAAGTTAAAATAGCGATGATGATTTCCAACCTCCGCTAGGAGAAGGAACCCGAAGAAGAAGAAGGTCTACGTTTGTTCCAGACCCAGCAACCAAGACAGGTGATGTTACTTTCACGTTAAGAAAGTTTATCTACTAATATAAGAGAGTGAAGAGACTGAAATTAGTTATGTGATAGAATTTAATATTTAAAATCTTTTATTATAAAAAGTGAATAATTTATTGTTCATATTATTTAATTTTAATTAATATTTTTTGCAGATTTTGATTTTTTATTTTTTTTTAATTTATTTGATATCTGATATGATGTTTGATTACTTTATGATATTTTTAATATTTGATATTTTCAATATATTTCGACTGATTTTAAAATCTTTTATGATATCTGCACTTTATTGATTCTGAAACTACTACTATAACTACTAGTTAGATATCATAAAATATCATCAATATCTGAAAATATTGATGATATTTTATGATATCTAACTAGTAGTTATAGTAGACCTTGCCCGAAATCCTGCTTGTTCTTCCGGTTGTTTATTAGTGTCTTCCTTGATAAATTTCTTCAAAATTATAGACTAAATTATTCTTACCCTTTGCATTACTGCTATGCCGACAGAGTCCATGGGTCGGCTTTTGTACTTTTTGCTGGATAGGAGAAATATAACTGACTCTATTTTTCTGGAACATCCTCTCCGTTTAGGCATCTTTTGAAAAGTTTTTGGAGCAATTCTAGTAATTGTTTTGTTCCTTTAACAGCTCTTGCTACCTGTTCGAAACCTAAATTTATCCTTTACATGTTCATTAAATGTTCTGCTCCAGAGCTGTTAATACCTCCAACGTGGTTATTTATATAGTTACATGATTTTGCCACTCACTGTTCTTCTCTTTGAATACTTCTTGTTTAACTCTTTTATTCATTTGCTTCTACTCTTCTACTCTTAGTTCATATCTGTGCTTTTCCTTCATTTGTATTTTTTCTTCATTGTACTTTTCTTTCTTTTGAGTAATTATTTGTTCAATGTCTGTTTTCCTCCAGTAAGGTTTATTAGATTTTTTGTCTTTTCTTTATAGGGCTTCTTTCGATGCTTCTGTCGCCAATAGCTCAATTCCGGCTTTACGATTGATCAAATGACAACTATAATTGCAACCAATGGTATTGCCCGAGATTGGATTTCGATTCCGTCTTTACGATTGGTCGAATTGCAACCTAATTGCAGCCAATAGTATTCTCCGAAATTGAGCATTGGCTGTCGTGCAAGCTCCAATGACAGAGCGCCATGAAGCACTTGACCTACTTAATTTCATATAAGTATAGGTGCACGATGGCCATAAATTCGTTCTGGTCTGAACAGGCAGAACCCGCCTTCTTGGCATTAGAGACCTTCTGGTTGATTTAGTTTCCAGAAACTCTGCATATTATTGCACCTAACCGCTATCCTTTTATTTCAGGATATTTCTAAGTTCTCTAGCGAGACTTTTTTTTTTAATGACAATCGGGCTAAGTGCCCATCTAGCCAGCAACAAATGTGTAATAACGTTCACTTAATAACCTAATCTAACTAAACTAAATACACTACAATTCTGGAAATTAAAAGAAGAATTACAATGGGAGAGGAACTAGGATTACTTTTCGCACCTAGAAGTCATTCAAGGTGACTCACAGACACAAAGTGTAGACCACGGAAAGTATAGGTAAAAAGGTAAAATACTTGGTGATTAAACAGAGGTAACGAGCTTAACACCTACATACCTATACTAAAGTTTTAAGTTACATATTTTAATAAACTTAAGAATAATTTTATATACCTTGTACATATTTAATGATATCAAATAAAGTAGATTGAAAGGGGGGTATAATTTTTGCAATATTAAACTATGAATAAGTTCCTCTCTTTGTATTTCAAATTTGGAGGAGAAGGTTTTTTTGACCAGTTCGTGTTAGTTAAATCGTGGTTATTTAATAAGGCTATTTTATCTAACAGAGTACGGTTTTTACAAAAAGACTTAATAATAAATTTTTCTGCTAGCCATTCCCTCCGTAAAAATAATGGTGGTCTAGAGCTTCAATCCGAAGTGGTTTCATAGTCGTTGAACACATTGCACCCAAACAGAGTCTTAGGGAAATATTTTGAATTATTTCCAGTCGTTTTAGAATGTAAAGACTGGCTGACCCATATAACGTACATCCCTAGCGAGACTTAATCTAATTTGGGCATTGGTGTCCTATGATGATGATTAGCGATAAGACCTGTGTCTAGCCGTGAACAAAAGAATCGTAGACCTATATAGAGCATTTGAGGAAATAATCGTAGACCTATGTACAGCACTGGAGGAAAGAATCGTAGACCTATGTAGAGTAGTGGGCGAAAAATATGCGTCGAGTACTAGACGAAAGAATGCAAGCTTATATGTAGCATTGTATAAAATATTTGGTTCTCCTGTCAAGCAGTGGACGTTCAATTAGTAAATAAAAGAAGGTGATATGGGACGAAAAACAGATCAGCTGACGAAAAGAAGAAGACGAAAGAAACGAAATGACTCGACTTGTCAGTGAGCGTGACGTCACTCGAACATCTGAACAGGTGCAAACATCAAAGGATGCCACTTTTTCCCACGGTCGGTAAAATTCAAACATCAAAGGATGCCGCTTTTTCCCACGGTCGGTAAAATTTTCCCAGCCCCTACCGGCGCAACATCTACTACTACTAACGTACTTCCTAGTCTAATTTATGTTTAAAATGTATATTTCAGCATTTTTTCGACTTGGGATATTTCTCGTGAAATATTAAATATTTTTATAAATATTGTTTTATTATATTTTATTATATATTATATTTTATTAATATTTTCGAAAGTAAATTTTATTTTCGACAAATGGTATTTTTACCTTAGTACAATTTCATATTTTTCCTCTATTTTTTCAGGTATTTAATTTATCGACTTTTTCTGAATTTTGGTAAGATATTTTCAGACCGAAAATAATTTTTATAACATTTTTATAGTATAATTTTGCTAACATTTTATTTCTCTTTAGGGACTTTGAAATATTTTCGATTGTAAAATAACTTTGCGATATTTTCCTACTATTTATTCTCTTTCATGGACTTTGAAATATTTCTAATATTTTATTTCTCTATTGAGTTTGAATTATTTTCAAACCGAAAATAACTTGTAATAATTTTGCTAATATTTTATTTCTCTTAAGGGACTTCATATTTTCGGTTGGAAAATAACTTAGGATATTTTCCTAATATTTATTCTTCTTTTCGACTTTGAAATATTTAAATATCCATAATTTTATTTATATAAATATACGTTTATTTTGACATTTCGTTTTCCATTTCAGAAATCATTCCCTAAATACAAATTTATAATACAAGATGGTCTCTATTTTTTACTTATATTTTCAGGATCGAAACCTCATCAGATGGATTTTCTTTAGAACAAAAAATTTAATTTTGCAATTTTCCAATTTGCATCTAAAATTTCTTTTTTTTTTTTTCATGTACATTAGAAGTAAGATTAATTAAAGCATACCTAATTTCTACAAAAGGCCTTGTCTGACACTTTTTATAGCATTGTATTACATTTTCTGCTACACTTTCACGAAATGCCAAAATATTTATTATCTTCCTTTTTTGAGATCGTATTGCGACAGATTTCTGTTTATATTTCTATCGTAAATTCATTAAAGTCAGATCAATTGCATAAAGTATCATCAACAGTCTATTTGTTAGATCTCACGAATAAGCGATAAATACCTAACAAAACATAACTTATTCAGACCTCTGATATTTTTGTTATACTTATATTTGTATGAACGTGGAATAATATCGTTTATATTATCTGATTACTTTTTCTCGGCCATTTTATTGCCATTTTCTTACTTGTTAAACGGTATAAATGAATTAATGAATATAAATTTGTTTAAGCAAAACAATAGCTCATAGGGTTAATTTGATAAAGACGGAGATGAAAATGCGGCATTAATGCCGGCAAATGTAAAAGAAATAAATAGGAAGAGGTGAATACAATTTAAAAGAATATTACAAAGTGTAGTAATGGAAGCCTATTATAGATTATATAATTACAAATGATCATGAAAAATTTTAAGAGCGAAGGACTTGTTAACCTGAACATCATACCATTATTGAAAATTTCCAGTGGTTATGCTAAATTCAAAGTTCTGGATAAAAACGAATAGAGCAAAATGAAGAAACGGAATAAAGCTCTTATTAAAAAAACCGCTCGTGGAGCTTGGGGAGTGCTGACCGAAGTGAATACTTCTTTTAGCGCGTCATTACCATATGTAGGTTAATAAAATTTTATGTCTGCTTATTAGTAAGTTGTTAATATTTTTTTATAATTACACCACACATTTAAGTTCTTTAAAATTAATAAAATCCTAAGTTTTTTCTTTAAAAATTTTGTTCAATGATTTTAGTAATTTTCCAAATTTGTTAAATATACATATTTTTGTAGGGAAATGCATACACATGTGATCCGTTTTCAACAGTACTGTTTAAATTTCTTGTAAGGGGCAGTAATGAAGAATAACGGAATACGAACACAAGGAACGATCTACGAGAACACAAACCAGATGCTTACGTTTGCGGAGAATTTTGAATTAACCTAAACCCTATGTAAACCGCTTCCCTAAATAAAGGGGAAGAAAGCTAAACAGTTTAGAAGCGGATTGCGAGATAAAAGAGAAGGAGAGACTTGCTCTTTTAATTTTCGATGTTAGTACCTATATTTAGTGGTGTTTCATGGTTGCTGTTCATTTGTGATTCTTTCGACCTATCACAATCCAAGTATTTAGAATATATTGATACCATTGTACTTTGGTCTTGTAAATTTATGCTTTGGATATTTTCACCTAGGTATGGATGATGTGGGAACATTTATTTAAATCTTTTATTATTTTAGTACCTCCTGAAAAAAGCATAATTTTCTAATCATTGTTTCTACTCATAACATATGCTTATTATCATCAATCATATTGATAATAATTTAATTTATAATTCTCATGCGGTCCAATAATTTTCTGAATTTCTTTCAATTAAAGAATAATAAATTGCAGTAAATTTCTTAAACGTAAATACAACTAATTAAAATTGTGCCACAATTGCAGTTTAGATGAATGACGTAATGCGAATGTAAACATTTTAATAAAAGCAAGAAGGGTATGTTACAGTAAACAAACACCATTATGTAAAAACTATTAATGTGATCACATGCTTTAAAATAGCAAAACCTAATATTTCGCCATTTTCTGCAAAGTAAATTTCTAAATTCATTAAATAAACTTATTAATGACAAATGCTTAACACAAAAATAAATGGAATCTTTGTATGCATGTCGAAAATGGATTAAAAATTTCATACAATAACTCGAGCTGTCACAGAATGGAAGGGATTCTTAATAATTAAATCTTACTCAAGATATAGTTGACAGACGGGCATATTTATCATTATTATTATTTGTTGTAGAATTAGTTCTTCACGTTTATCTGAACCGTTATGAAAATATAAAATTGAATACTTAGTTACAAAATTCAGTGTTACTGAAAATGGCGTCCAAAGTAGTTTTGGTTCTTGTGTTAGCAGTAAGTAGTTCTATATTAAACCAATTATCATACTAAAAATACCACCAGTTCATCGGTACACGTTTTATGATAAAGTACACTAATAAATATGTTAAACTAAATTATTTAAATTACTCTATGGTTCATCCCTTGCCATTTCTATTATACTTTTCCTTTTCTCAATCCCTATCCGGCACACTTGCTCAGTTTATAATAATATATTCTAAACCCCCGACTTTCATTTCTGATCACTGAATTTCGTAAATTTTTATGACCAATTTATTTTTATGCATTTGTTGCATGTATTTATGAAATTGTAATATTTTTACAGTCTTTTGATTATAATTTCTTATTTTATTTCATACATTAAAGGTATCTAATTGTTAATCTACTTCGTGGATTCAATAACTAAATTGATCCTAAATTGAATTGAACTAAAAGATCTTTTATTTTCTCTCTTCTCCTCTCCTCTCCTTTATGAGGTTTAGGTTTTTTATAATAGATTTTTTATAACGATTTTATTAATTAACAAATATAATAAAACTATTTTTGACGCTTCATAGAGTGTTTTCGGCATATTTGTAGTCTTATCAACTCTATCAGATATTCAGATATAGTTATCAGCTAGAAGACAATGCCATCGAAAAATCTTAGGTGGTTCAGATCCTCTCCATTTATATTAGTTCATATATAATATATACTCCTCTCTTACCATTCGCTCGTCCATTCCATCCATTCCCTTCGACGATCATTTGTTTCAAATCTGGAGTGGAACCTAGCCTGTTCACTTGGTTCTATCTAGTTGTAGGAGTAAGGTTGGTAACTATCTAGTTTGTTCTTCTTCTTCTTAACGTGCCCTATCAAGTCCCTTGACGTTGGCGATTAACATGGCGAAACTGTCTCTGTCTCGAGCTATTCTAAATAGTTTGTTCACAAGCCGTTTTATTTGTCTTCACCGTCACCTTTTTTTGTATTATGATTAATATTGCATTATGTCATTATGGATTACGCCTCTTGTCAAACAAGCATTGAATATTTTTCGAAAAAATTTATCATTATTTCCCCTCCTTCTTCTATTTGTTTAATGCCTATCTCATTTTCTCTAGGAGATTTAATTATTTTAATTTCCGATAGAGCTTTTTTTATTTCTCCTTTTGTGATATCTGTGATATCTTCTGAGCCTAGATGTTAGGCTTAGGAAACATTCTGGTATTTGCCTCTGATTAAGATCTGGAAATTCTTGTTCTTGTTTATACAATTGTGAGTAAATATTCCTTATTTGTTTCACTTACAAGTTTGCAAATATTTTTCGATCCCTCAATCGGTTTTTTTTGGGCGGGACCTTTAAACTTTTATTTTCATCAATGGCTCGAGCTATCTGTTCGATGTTGTAATTTCTGATAACTTTTCGAATTAATTTTGGGGTGTCTTTCTTTAACTGTCCATAGTTAAATACCACAAAATTTTCCGTATGTTTATATTTCAACTCTCTTCTTTTATTTATAAGATCTCTCGTAGCTTGGGTAAGTTTATCTTTCATGTTTTTCCTTTATCTTATTTATTTTCTCTGATCGTTTTTAATAGCAGTTTATACTTGGATGATTGCCACCTTGGATGATATGTCTAGTTCATGTTCATTTAGATGCTCTATTTCTTTAAATTCTTCTGATATAATGTTATAATAAACTACTCTATATTGTATCGTTGTCCATTTATTAGAATGTTTCTCTTCCATCATTGTTTTCTTCTCTCTTCTAATGTTGATCAATATTTTTGCTCTAACCAGTTAATGATCACTCAAAACAATGACTTTATTAATTACTTCGTGACATCTTGGACGGTAATTTTTCTGTTTATGATGTATCAAATGCATTCATGAAAGTTTTTTGATTTCTTCATCGCTATGGCCAGTCCTTGGATAATTTTAATAAAGTATCTATATTTTACTTTTAATATGACGTACACAACTCTTTAGCTTACACTCTATAATTTTATCTCGGTGTTTCTTGTGCACGATAAACCCTATACCGCCTTATCACTTGCTCAAATTGAATGCAGGAGATGCGCAGATTTGAAAACTACTTGGTTTTTTCCTTTTCTTCGCATTTCAGAAAGTCCTTAAACATCCCATTTTATAAAGTTAAATTCTTTTTGTCATTCAATGAGCTCATGAGGTGCAAAAGTTCTTACGTTATAAGAAGCAATATGCAATGTTCATTGTCCATGGTAGCCCTGGATTCTTTGCACTTTCTACCCTTGATCTGGTCTGGTGACTATCAGACCAGGGACTGTTGGGCCCCCAGGAACTAAGGGCTATTTCCTAGCCCGGGTCAGTCATATTTATGGGGATAGATCTTTCGATATTACGCTGGCTAGTGCTGGTGTATGATGAAATGTAAGAATTGAAAATGGGTGGTATGATAGGTTGGAGATCTGGCCTCTTCTAAGGGCTTAGGCATAGGTGAAAGTCAATAGCTAGCGTAGTGCACGGACGCTACTCCCTGTAGCAGCGTGTCTTCTACCGGGATCATAGAGGACTGCTACCCGCTACTCTACTGTACTGGAAACAAAATAAATAATTTTTTATCATAATTTAATTTTACTATAAAAATAACACTAGCATGCGTTGGTTAAACACACATTCTATTATATCCATGCACGAAAAAACACCCTCTTGCTAATTGCGTGCCTCTCTATCTTACTGTTGCAAAGAACGTGTGGAATTTATATAATTACAAATTTAATTTTTTTTCTCAGTTTCATTGGAATCTTTCTCTAACACAGCGCCCCATTTGCCTCCTTCAATTTTATCAATGCCGCTCTAACTCTAGTGCTCGCATCTATATCTGTTTCGACATATTATGTAATGCTAATACCGGTCCTAGTTACTTAATATTATTATTTACAACTGTGTCATCAACTAAAGTCTAAAGTTATCTTATTTGTAGAATTACTTCCATTTTTAAATGAACGTTTTAGATTCTGTTTTGCCTTTTTGTTATACAAACCTTCTTCTTCTGGAGCTTGTCTGTACAGTTCCAATCTATGTTTTAAATCCCTTTTATTATTTCCTGCTAATACTATATTGTTACACTGTTTAAAAATAAATTTATTGAACACCAACTTGTTTACAATACTTTTACAGACTGACAACTATAAACTTCAAAACTTAAAATAAAACTGTTCTAAATTGTCACAAACATCGGTTTATACATATTTTCTGACGTTTCAAACTTCACTAGACATTTCATGTCATATTGAATGTTTTCGAACTACTTCTTCTATGTGGGCTAAATCTCATGAAACTGCCGTAGCACTGCTCTCTCCTTTATAGTTATTCTCATCGAATAATTGGACTATCAGGGACCGATTGAAGCCAACAGGGTGGATCAGTTAAGTGGTATGGAGCTAATCTCTCGATATGAACTACCTTAGGTTTACATCTAGCTGAAAACTAGATTAGGTAGATTAGATCGTTTATTTTCTACAGGATAGTTTACGGACCTTCCCAGATTCGTTGAAATTTCGGTTCAAGTTGTTTTTTACGTGTGGGATTGTATAATCATACTGGATCACCTCTCTCGAAAGTTGTATTTGTAGCATGCATGTCAGGCCTGCCCTTGGTTTCATTACTTTAAAGTTTCAAACTTTTACGAGCAAACTCGTAGACTTTTTCCAAGTTTCTTTCAAATTTTCAATATACATCAGAGATGAACGTTCTTCTTCGCACGGATGGCAATCTTTCAAAAATAAGGCCTTAAGAAGCTTCATGTCTTTTCCGGTGATCATCATAGATGAAGAATAACCAGTTGATTCATGTTCGGAACTTCTATAGGCCAACAGGAAAAGAGGAATTAAAGTATATCAATCTTATTATCTGCAACATTTAAAGGCATTGACAAACAGTTATATTATGTATTTCGACCATTCCGTCTGATTGTGGATGGAGAGGCGTTGTGTAAGTTTTCTTAATACCCAAGATTTTCATTAATTCTTGACATAATTATGATTTAAAATTTTGTCCTTGATCAAAATGTAACTCTAAAAGAACTCCATGTCTTGATACGACGTGTGTTATGAACGCTTCTACTGCTTCTTGATTAGAAAGCTGCACAACTTCAAGCTATTTTGAAAAATAATCCATGGCGACCATTAAGTTCTTGTTTCCTCTCTCTAATATCGGAAGTGGACCGAAAATATCAACTGCAAGTCCTTCAGAAGGCTGTCTGTTTAGTTTGATCATTATCTTCTTTCTTTATAACTGCGGTTCTCTGGAGACTTCGGTTACATTCTCTTTTTTTTTTTTTCAAACTGACATTGACTTTGAACCTGTAATTCGTTCAAAGTATCCTGGAATTTTTGTAATCGTTCATTCTTCCAAACTGACAACTGTTCTCTTAACTTTTCTATTTCATTTTTACTAAACGCTAGTTGCTCCTTCAAATGTGCAACTTCAGAATACAAAGTTTCGCTTCTGTGGTCGCTTGTGGGAAATTGATTTGATAGAGACCTATAACTACTAGTATTTCTAATAGGATTATGTGATAGGATTCTGGATGCCGATCTAGGCAAACCTCTGATATCATTTATTAATGCTTCTTTCCTTATTTGGGATCGGCTTTTGCAATTGTATTGAAAATGTCCCATTCTTCCGCAATTAGAACATCTCCAAAGATTTTGCAGTATGTTTAAAATTTGGGATAAAATATTTTGTTGGAAATCTGATGTCGTGATTTCTTCATTTTCTCGAAATCTTATTTCTTTAATTTTGGGCGAGATCTGGAAATGCTTTTCGCCGCTTCATACTCCTGGGCTGAGTTCGCTTCATACTCCATTCATCTATGAATGCCTGTATACCAATGTATTTCGAAAAATCTGTAGGTGGCTGAGGGTACGTCAAATGCAACAATATTTTAATATCGGCTTGATATTCTTGCAGATTTTGGTTATGCTTTTGAAATTGAACTTTCAGCTGACGTTGGAAAACCTGCTTTAGATATTGCTGGTCATATTTTGTTTCT